AGAGAGAGAGAGAGAGAGAGAGAGAGAGAGAGAGAGAGAGAGAGAGAGAGATGGGGAGAGAAAAAGATGAAAAAAAAATCGCCACACACGCACTTCTCGCGCAAGACGCCGTGTCGACACGGCGCGGTGTCCGTGAAAGTTTATAAATCACCGCGCACACAATTCGACAATGATATATTCGTCAGACCGCCGGACCTATCCTACGCGTGCTCGAGACAACGGTGTTTCACGCCACCACTGTGGATATTACAACCGTAGAAAGTACAGCGAGTTTTCCCACGGCAAAAATTCGCGGGCAGATGCCACCGCGACTTTCTAATTTTCAACGTTGAGGATCGACGTCGGGGATCGCGAATCGACGAGTCCCCGTCGAAACCGGTTGAGACAATCATTTGCCTTCAATTAATATCAACCCAATAACGATGACTGTTAATTTTAGTCTCAATTTCGAAATTAATTAATTTAAATTTGATTAATCAATGACTCGTCAACTATCGCTCGTATTGAAGAATGGCAAGGGACTTCTCGTCTCGGTTTGACGCTTCTACCATCTGTCATATTTTGTGTGGGACACCCTGTACATGTTGTAGAAGAACAACTCACCGGCCACGTGAACTCGAACGGGAACCTGATGGGGTTGGTGAAGCTCGACATGGAGACTGCGCTGAGGTTGACCACGTTCTCGCCGAGAATGGGCGTCACCACGTCGCCGTACGTGCACGCCGACGTCGTGTCGATCTTCACCTGGTACTGCTTCAGACAGACCCGAAACCTCGTCTTGCAGACGCCCGAGCACTCGCCCGTCCTAGACACGCTGCCGGAGCAGCACTTGCCCAGGCTGTCCTTGCCGTACTCATTCACGAAGGACTTTAGCCTCAGCTCGAACACCCCCGAGGCATTCACCTGCAAGAAAATCGCACGTGTCAATTTGAAGGCGGAAGTGCAATCGCGTCGCACGAAATTCTCCCAATGAATCAAAATAGTGAGGCGAAAAATTGCAAATTCGAATATCAAATACGGAAAACGCGAGACGTCCTTGGGAGGTCAAGGACTCAAGCCTGATCTACAATATGCTCCTTGCGTTCTGTTTCTTGTCTTCTGTTTTTTTCTGGCTTAAAGCATAAGGTGTGAGTCAGAAAGAGATAAGAAAAGAAATAAGAAGCAAATAAACGCATTTTAGAACACATTGTAGATCAAGCTTCAAAGTATTAAGGTAAAGCGATTAATATCGCTTTATTTACTTACACTATATAAAGATATAAAGATATTTTATATATTATTAAATAAAATATCAATTTAATTGATAACACGTTAAAAAGCGATACCATTCATCAAAGAGAGAAAGACTTGAAAATTTACTCGCGAGATATGAAGTTCATTTCTGTGAAATAAACTATTTCGACGAATAAACTTTATATCCTACAAATAAGTTTCCAAGTTTTCCTTTTTTCTCAATGTAAAAGACAAAATTTTAGACTCAACCTAAGTCGAATGTTCGAAATGAAAATTCGACTCTGTGTAAAATTTCTCGTAAACTATATTAATGTGGATGTAAAAGTCACAGAAAAGAAAGAAGTTAAAAAGATCAATCTTTGAAGAGGAGTATCGCATCTCGCGGAACGAGTATCTCCAATGACTTCACGTGCAATCATAGTGCAGCTTTAATAATGTGGTCTGGCTCGGCCGGCGGATCATCACGAGATCCATGAAAAACGTTTCGCCATCAAACGAGAGACTCCTCTCTCCTTCTCTTAGCGACGACGACGACGGTTGCAGCACGGCGGACGTCGTCTCGTGCCCCACGACGTGAAACGCCGCAGGAGCACGTGTGCGCGCGCGTTTTTGCGGACGCGTGTCACGCACGCACGTCTCCCAGGAGGAGAGAAGCCGAGCGAGCGACGAGGCGACCCGACAAAAAGCGCGCGCGCGTCTTCTCGGTCGTTTGAGAGCGAACGCGCGCGTATCCCTCGACGTGATACCGTTTCGTCGACGTCCGTCCGTTTCGATCGAATCACAAAAGTTACGTGCCGCGGTAATCCACCGATTCAACTCGACTTGGCGCCTGTTTGTAGAGGCGGCTTTAATTTAATCAATCGTCCGGATGAATTTCCGTAATATCAATTGTTGCAGCAAACGCATTTTCCCTCTCGTGAAAAAGCACGCGAAACTCCACGAACGGAAAAAAAAGAGAGAGACACAAATACAGAGTGAGCGACTGAGTAAAAGAGTGAGTGAGTAATCGAGTGAGTGGGTGACTGAGTGAGTGAATGAGTGAGTGAGTGAGTGAGTGAGTGAGTGAGTGAGTGAGTGAATGAGTAAATGAGTGAATAAGTGACTAACTGATCGACTGACTGATTGAGTGAGTGAGAGAGAGTAAGAGAGAGTTACGATTTAACGACTTCTCCAGGGTATAGAAGTGTCTGCTGCTATAACATCGTCGTGATCGAGCCGGTGACGTCGTGTAAACAGCGCCGCTGTCAAATACGACGTCTCCCATTTTTCCCGTCCACGACGTCGCGACGCCGAGATAGTGCTCGATCACTGTGAACACAACGATTCGCGTGTACGTATACTGACGTGTTTGAATGTATGTATACAACGCGCGCGCGCGCGCACACACGAATACGCTTCTAGACGAGGCTTCCCACGAGATATTGTATAGCCGAGAGCGAACGGTAAGTCCTTTCGCGAAGTTCGAACGACGGAGCACGGCATTAGCCTTCCTTATCAGACTCGCGGATCGTTTTGCGATCGCGCACCTCGATCACATCGATTACACGCATACACACACGCACACGACGCGTACGAACACCCCCGACGAACTCACGGCATGAGGAAGTAGGATAAACGGTATTCAGTCGCCCACTATTCCACGACGATTTTTTCCACGCGAACACTTCTTTAGGGGCTGGAGTATCATTACGCTCTAATAGTACGACACGTGTGTCGAGTGGAATTTCCTGCATCGCGTTTCCTCAAAGTCTCCCTTCGCTTGGGACCGAGATATATGTCATGATCAACCGTATCGTCGTCACATGACAAGTTCGGCAAGTGAGACGTCCCTTGTGCGACCTTGCGCGACGAAAATAAAGCGTTCGTTCGCGAATGAAGAGTGCATTCGCAAAGGCGCCCGCCGGACAACTCGCGGCGATCAGCTATTTTTGAAGCGAAAGGATAAATAACGAGTCACCGTGGCTCCTCGACTTTTCGTCTTCGCCATGCGCGCGTTTTCAATATTGCGCGAACATTTGTCTTTCTCTCTCTCTCTCTCTCTCTCTTTCTCTCGCGTTTACGTTTCCGTGGTCACGCACCCGCGTGCACACGGCGCCAAATCCGCGACTGCTGCTCCCCAAGTTTATTTGCTCGAGGCGCAGAGCTCACGGCGCTTCGGAGTGTCGGACGGGCGTGCTTCGCGATAAGAACCGGCCTTTGTCGCCGATCGCTATCACCGCTTGCTTTCAAGCGGACGCAAAGCCCGTGCAACCGCGCACTCGGCGACCCCTCGCAGGCAAATCCGTCCCGTTACTTTGCGTCGCGCCGCAGCAACGAGTAAACGAGCACAATACACGTCATACATTGTACGAAAGAGAGAGAGAGAGAGAGAGAGAGAGAGAGAGATAGAGGGAGAGGAATGTAGAAAGAGAGGAATGTACATAGATAGAGATAGATAGAAAGACAGATGAGGGCAAAGAGAGAGAGAGAGAGAGAACGCATGTATGTACACCGGCGCGGGCCCTCACGATGAGGAATCTCATTTTTGGCGCGCTGGAAGGCTATTCTGGGAACGGAGAATGGCCGCCGCGCGTATTTACGGATAGGCCGACGCAGTGTGTTTCGTCACACAAAACGAATTTCGCCGCACCGGCGGGCCCGCCACCCTTCAGACGCCTTTGAGACGCGCACTCTTTGCGATCGGACGAGCGCGCGTTCGATTCACACCTCGTTCGACGTACCCGCGGCGGAACAAAGGGCTCCTTGCTTCCACCGACTCCTCCTTCTTGCTGCTCTCCGCGAGAACTCCAGCGGATGCGCCGTCCGCGATGATTCCGTCAAGTTTCATGGATAAGCGTCCGCGGCGAGTTTTAACGCGATTTGGGGATTAGAGGCGCTTCAGTAGGCCGCGTGCGCGCTCAACAGAAGACGGGCCAGGAAGTGGGGACGGGAAACAGAAGCGGGGTTAGACACTTCTAAAAGAGTGCGTCCAGATTTAGAGTTGCGTGCGGCCCGAATCCGCCGTTAGGGACGGTTTACTGCCGTCCTGCCTCCGGATTGTGAGAGAATGGAGAAAGAGGATTTCGTGCGCTCGAAAGTCGGGATTTCTTTCTCCCCCTCTCACTCTTCGTCTCTCTTTCTCTCTCTCTCTTTCTTTTCCCGAAGAGACGGAGAGTGAGTTAAGCCAGTTAAGAATGTATATGGCATTAACGAGTCAAAAGGTCTTGGGATTAAGAAGGTAGCGAGAAAGGTAGTCGAGGAAACTACCTGCCGAGTTAGAATAGCACAGTTGTAGTTGAGTTTGTTGCTGCGAAAAAATTGGCAGGCTACGGGAGCGAGGTCATTTCCGCGTACTCGGAATTGATAGTATCAAAGCGCGACAAATATCGCCGGGGACGAGAAACGAGACGAGCGCGCGCGTAAGGTCGTCGTGAGCGGGAGAACAAGAAGGGAGAGGAGGGGGGACCGGGGGACATCTCTCCCAGGAAGAACTCCCTCGGCATTCGTGCGGAGAACAGACGCCGAAGAAACGGGCCGTGTGATACGCGAAATGCACCACTCGTCGGCCTCGAGAAAGTCGCGTCTCGAAATACCGAGAAAGAGGAGGGCCCCAATATCGGAAATGTCAAACGCTGCGAGCACGAAAACGCTGGAACAAGCGGCAGAACGCATTGTGTACGTAGCCGAGCTCACTGTACCGCGCAAACCAACTCCGCGTAACTTGAGCGGAAAATTGAACGTTACTTGGACGGGAGACGAGATATTCCTCGAGATGCACGAGAGAGCGTCTGACATATTCATCCCACACACGGATCATCTCGCCCGACGAATTGCAAATCCGAGCTAACCGAGATTCGTCCTCCTCGCTGCTGAGATAACTGGAGTGTAAATTATCACTAGATTCATTCGCGAATGCTATCACTATTGCGATCTAGCTAAACGAAGGTCAGCGGAGCGGGGTTAACCTCTTGTCCACAACCTTGCTTTAATTCTTAAGCCGTAAGAAATTGACCGACCACAGTTGATTATTTTTAAAATAATCGACGTGGTTGGTCAATTTATTACGGCTTAAAGATTAAAGCAAGGTTGTGGACAAGGGGTAACTGTTGGGAAGAATTCACATCTTGGTAGAAAAGCAAAAAGTCAATCGGAACTCACGTTGGTGGTCAACGACTTTCGCGTTTCTACTAGTGCGAGTTCTGATCGGCCTTTCTGCTTTTCTGCCAAGTTATACTGTATGAAGTAATACTGTAATAATATTGTATGAAGCAACATAACATGCCGAGCGCGAATATTTTTTTAGAAAGCCAAAACTCTGTTCGTTTTCGAAGAACCTCCGGACTAGTGCGACAAGTCAGAGGGAAATAGAGTGTTATTTGCTTCACTTCAACTTACCGCATTAGTGCACAAGTTCTTCGAGAACGAACGGACCCAAGGATTCAGCAGGATCAGGTCGGAGTCGGCGATAGACTTCCTCGAGGTCTCAGATGGCGCGTGAAATTAATTCGCGTGGCGTGTGACACGCGGAAACGAGGTGTCGAACGCACGGCCATTCAATTACGCGTCGAATGCAACGTGGTAAACGCATGCAAAACGGATAAGACGCAGCTTGCGCAAGTGCGAGCGCGATCCGAGCGAGAGGAATGCATTACGGATCTCATTATGAAACGCGAGTCGATTACGTCGCGTCTATTCCGATCTCCCGCGCGCATCTGCGCCACGACGCCTTCCTTTTTCTCGCGTTTCGCGCGCAACAATGGCGATGCGAGAGGCGCGTGTGAATGTACAAATCGTATACTACACGTATAAGGAGTCTTATTCAGAGGCCCGAAACACCGTAGCGAGCAGCCGGACCCATTCATCGAATCGAGATGCTCTCAAGGTCGACGACAGTTCCGGCGTAAAGTTGACAAACTCCGCCTCCCAAACTCTGCCGTACGATAGTAATTACGATACGGCACGCGACGGAGCGCGACACTCTGTTTACAGAATCCTTCTTTCATCATCTGTGCACAGCTCTCACCGTGTCGATCACATTTCCGCGACGTATTGGGAATCGACAATGGTCTCTACGTTTTGACAACAGTAACGAATATCCTGAACTCTCGGCGACATTGAGAATGCTGATATCTCGCGAGACATTTTCCTTCCTCGCCGTTCGAACGCGTCAAATGACCCGCCTCGACACTGCCGTCTTTTCCTCGGCGAAATTCGTCGCGGAAACGAATTCTTCGCTCTTAAACTGACTCGACTAATCGCGCAAGAAACTCCACGCGAAGCAGGGGTTAAATTCGTCTCAACATCGCCGTGTTCCGGCTTCACCCGTAACTGGCACGATGAGGGTCGCGGGGCCCGAGCGTTGGGTTCGCCGGTGACTTCCTCGAATGCCACGCTCGCCAAATTGCGCGGCGCTTGCACGACTTGTCATTTCCGGGATCTCTCGGCCAAAGCACGACGTGCAATCTCCGAAACCAACAGTCTCCCAGCCGCGTTCTTTCCTTAAGTTTGATCTGCAACGTATTCTTCGCTTCCTGTTTCTTCTCTCTTCCTAACTCAAACTTCAAGCCAGAAAGAGGCAAGAAAGCAAAGAGCACATTATAGATGAAACTTCAGCCCAGATCTGCAATGTGCTCTTTGCTTCTTGTTTGTTATCTCTTCCTGACTCAAACCTTAGGTCAGAAAAAACGGAGAACAAGAAACAGAAAGCAAAGAGCATATTGCAGATTAGACTTTAAGCTTGATTTGCAATGTGCTTCCTATTTCTTCATTTCTTTCTGACTCTAACCTTAATCCTTAGGCGATAGGACAGAGAAAAAAGCAGGAAGCAAAGAGCACATTGTAGATCGAGCTTTAACTTTCACCGAGGCACGAATATTCGCGAGTGTCTCGGCGAGGATCTTCTGGAAGATCCGGCGACTCGTGCGAGAACGCTTACGTAAGAAAAATCAAAGAAACCGAGTCACCGTGCCAGTTCCGAGAGCTCGGAGCGTGTTCGTCGTCGTCGTCTTCGTCGTCGTCGTCATCGTCGTCGTTGTCGTCGTCGTCGCCGCCGCCGCCACCGACGGCGGAAGCGGCACCTTCGAGGGAGGGCGGAAAGAGAAACATAATACACTTACCGCTCGGGGCGTCGGCAGGAGAACGACGGCGGCCGTCCACACAAGCATCGTGGTCCACATGTTGACGACGCGTCGCGTATCCCGTCGATGTTTACACGCCGCCGGCGCTTCCAAGCCGGCGGAGGAGACGCGGATGCGATGCGCACCCCTGCGCTGCTCGTCGCGTCCCGTTGGCGTTACCTGGTCGCCAGGACGTCGCGGGGCTGCTGCATAGCCACGTACCGCGCGCGATACTCCCGCGTCCCGGAAGCGAGCGGACGAGTGTACGAACGAACGCGCGCCGGTTGGTATTCGCAGTTTCCGGACCGAGCCGCGCGGAACAAACTTCGTCGCCGCTTCGCTTCCCACTGTGCACTGCGCGACTCGCGGACGCGAACGGTGCGTTATGATTGGTGATTGGTCGCGATACTCGCGCGCGCAAATATGTCGTGTAGTCGCGAGAAATGCGATTCGTACAATCTCTATCTCTCTCTATCTCTCTCTCTTTCTTCCTTTCGCTCTCTCTCTCTCTCTCTCTCTCTCTCTCTCTCTCTCTCTCTTTCTCTCTCTCACGCGCGGTTCTCACTTTTTTTCTTCTTGATACACACTTGCCGTTGACACACTTTAATTCCAGTATCCGTGGGACGACGACACGCCGAGAGGCTCGCCGGAAAGGGAACGACAGCCTTCGCGTCCGTGTTAGGTGACGAACGTCGCGAAAGATTCTCTCTCTCTCTCTCCCTCTTTCACGTGTCTTTCTCTGTCTCCTCGCCGACGACGACCCGTGAATCCTTCCTTCTCTTCCCTTTGCTCGATTCACGAGCGGGACGATCCCGTCATACCTCTCAGTAGCGATGCGAGAGAGAGAGCACACTGACGAACGCCGGGACGACCAACCAAACGACGCTCTCCACCTCGCCAATCGTCGCAACAACGACGAGACGCGCACTGAACAACCGTGGTCGCGCCGCGAGGAATAGTCCCTCGGCGATCGGCAGCACCGCCGAGTCGGAGAAGGGCGGAAAGGGTCGAGAGGCAAGGGAGGGGGGAGCGCGGCCCGATGGTGAGGGCAGACTCGGCGATGGTGGTGGAACCAAGGATGCCCGCTCCGGCTCGTGTGTGACGAGTCGAAGACGAACGAGAGTCAATGCGCCCGTCGCGCGGCAGAGGGGAGGCCTTCTCTTTTTGCGGCCGGTCGTAGAGGGGAGCGGGCGCCTGGTGGAGGGACCGGGACGAGGGACGAGGGTTCACACACGAGAAAGCACCGGCGCGACGAGAGTCACCGCACCGCGGCCGCGCTAGTACTGATTCCCCCAGCCGTAGAGATGCGCGCCCGGCGAGCCGGCGGCGCGACGCGTTGCGTCGCGACGCGCACAGCACCGCGATCGTCCAAAAATCCGGTAGAGGCGCGGGACGCGCACGTCGACTGGAATCGCCCGAAATTCTTCTTCTACAGTCTCCTCGCTCGCGTCTCCTTCGTCCTGACTGCGGCGTCGATGTATTCGCTCTTCTCCTTCCTCCTCTGTCGTTCGCCTCTTCTTGCTGCTTTCACGCGATTCACCGTAACGCGTGCGTTCGTACGTGCATGTCGCTTCCGCGCCACTAATCGGCTACACTAGCGCCACACCGCGACACCCGCAACAGCCACGACACTGTACCGGCGCGAGCGCAACGATAGATGGCGATCTCTCGTTCTTCGCCCTTGGTGCCCTCTTCTTCCACGGATATGTGTATATATGCACACGTGTGAGTGCATATATATGTATGTATATATGTATTATGTATGTACGTACACGATCCTATTCTTCCTGGCGCGTAACTACCTTCTTCACTCGTCGACGGCAGCAGTGAATTACTCCCGCGCAATTACGATGCGTGCACACGCGCGCGCCCGATGCAAACCTGTGCGAGGGGGTGAACGACGAGCGTCCGCACGTGCTCGTCACGGAGTGCAACCCTCGACTGGAGGTAGCAAGGCCCGGAGCACCCTTACTTATAATTGTGGTCCCGCCGGTTCCCCTCCGGGGTTGGGTTGTGCCCTGCGACCGAATCAGAGGGGTGGTGAGTGGCGGCTGCGCCGGTGGCGCGACGCGTGGACTAGGGGGAGCATGGGGATTGTACACGGGGGGAGCAGCAGGGCACAGAGGCAGCAGGGAACGGCAGGAGGGCGAGAGGGGGCAGCGCGAAGAGGCAGCTGCAGGCCGGCTGCACGCGCCCACCCCCACCACCGCGCGTAGCCCCTGTACGACACCCTAGCAGCCACTCGTGCGGACTTCTCGCCTGCTCGCCTGCCTGCCTGCCTGCTTGCTTGCCTGCCTGCTCGCTCGTTCGCTCGCTCGCTCGCTCGCTCGCGGACTCCTCGGGGCGCCTGCCCCTCTCGCCTGCTGCTCGCTCCCTCCCGTTTACCCCGCGTCCGACCTTTCACGGTGGCACAGCGCGCAAACCCCCCTCTCGCGCCACCCCTGCCCCCCCGGCCCGCGTACAGCCGCGAGCGCCACGATAATTCGTACCCCATCTACTACGGATCTGGCGGCACGCGCCGTGTGCCACCACCTCGCGTGTGACGTCATACCCTTCTTTTTAAGCGTATTACGTTTCTTACGCGCGAGGAGCGAGCGAGGAGAGACGAGAGGCGTCGAGAGAATGTACGTGAGAGCGCGTGGCGCGCGCTATGCGTGGACGCGCTGCCGAAAGTGGGCCGTGCGAGATCATTCGGCTCACCAAGTGTCCAAGCGATACGTATATTGTGAATTAGAGGAGAGGGTGGTTGATGGGGCACGACAGCGGTGCACGGTCGCTTTACCCTTTGGGGGAAAAACTTTTCCTGGAAATGTTCTCAAGAAACGCAAACTAGACAGATTTTATCATAATTTTTATATTGAAGATTCACTTAATGTGACGCACTGTATCGCGCGTTCCAAAAGAGTTAACACTAGAATCCCCGGGAACTGCAATCCCCTTTGGATGCCCGAAAGAATTATTTTGGTTCCTGACGGTCCTAACATATTAAAACTCTTTCTGTTCCTACTCTCGTATATCAATAACTTCTGAATATTTTAAGAATATAGTTAAAAGTCACAAAATATTTCTTTTCCAAACCACGAAAAACAGAAATGGCGTCAACAAGAAGATCTTGAGTCAAAATGACTCCATCGAGCATTCGCAGGGTTAATACGAGTTCGCGACAATCTGACGTCGTACCCGATAGAATTTCCAAGCCAGCTTGGGCAATCGACTAATTTTGACTCGTTCGACGTCTCGAACGAGTGTATACATTGTATGTGAGACATGTGCAAACACGAAATAAATAACGAGACGACTACCGGCGTGAGAGCGAGCACCGAGACGAGTTTCAGCGCGATCGGGACAGAATCGAGAAATCGAGTAGCCGACCGGGCGTAATTAAGCGTCGTGCGCTACTCTCCGACGCACCTGCAACCTGCCGAAGTTGAGTGTCTCGCAGAAATATTTTAACCTAATTTGCTGGGCCGCGCGCATGCCACAAGATATTTCCAGACGGCACCGATACTGTGTGTACGCACGCCGTGTCGTCCAGTCCAGATATAAATCAGTTTTCGCGAGAAGGAGCCGGATTCGACGAGAAGCAACCGAGGTGTCGGCGAGCGCATCTGCTCTCGTCGGCGATGCTTCGCGAAATCCTCCTGCGTCCGCGTCGTGTCCAGTCGATAGTCGTAGGAAATTTCATTCGTGGAATTGTCAGGACCGCGACTACTTCTCATTTACATCGCGCTATTGAAAATAGCTAGCTACGTTCCTTTTTGCGGGTGAACTCGGTTCCTGCGGCACGAAGCAACGCGACCTGGAATAATCGACTTTCAATGAAACTCCTCGCGTGGTGGCCCCCTAATCTGGATATTTGCCAACTGCCCTAATTCAAGGGTTCACCTTCCTAATACCACGTAACGTTCGGACACACGCGCGAGGCAGCGATTGCGCGTCATCTGCGCTTCCTCCCTTTCAAACCTCCACAGTTCGTGTTCGTCCTGCCCGAGTCAGGTTTGGTCGCGACGAGCGTGCGACCGGGGAAGGGAAGAGATTAAGTATAGCTTTATCACCTTCGTCCGGAAAGTCGAAACCAGCTTTTTGTCACCGATCGTTTACCACCTTGCCAATTGAAGCTCGGAATTGAAGGATTCGCGCGAGTATGCGCCAAAGGACGTATCATTAAAATCTCTCAAGTTTAACTATAAGCAACTTTAAGTACACTAAATCACAAAATTCTGCAACGCGTTGAGCTCCTAAATGTAAATTTCATAAATTTATTGCTGCATCAATACAACATAAAATTTGCATTATTGCATGATATAAATTTAATAATTAATTCAATACAATATGCGTTTACTTCATAAGTGTAATAAAAAAAAAATTGTAAAGTCTCCATCATCGATTGTCTCACGTCGTGATAATCGTGAAAGTCTATCTGAGCTGCTTCGCAGTTACAACACGAGAACAAATTTTTCCGATAAGCACAAAGATGACGGCTTGCATCGAAATCTTTATTGTGACAGCTGAATGATGACTCTATCTTATCTGTCCGCGTTTTTTTAAAATACATCGCACCGATACATGGAATTTTCCGTTCGTTTCAAAAGGGACTAGCCTCGGCTTTAGCTGGCGAGGAGGTAGCAAACATCGGGAAAAAAAACACACATTCTCATTATCCGATCGCGTCCTCGAATATCAAAGCGTGCAACAAAAGCCCATCATTCCGAGTCGCACTTGCCCAGGAGCTCGTGCTACGCAAGAGCCTGTGACGTCACTCGTTGCAGAACCGGATGGGGTGCGGTGAACCCCGTCTCTCGCGTCCGTGGGGCACGTATTATGCGGCATACGCGATGCTATACGGGGTGACAGATTATTATGGCGCACATACTGCTCGCCGGCCAGGCATTGTGCCCGGGATACAATGGCCCGGACCTGTCTCGGCCACGCATCCACGTCCTTCATTGTTAGTTAGCGCGAATCGTCCCTCCGGTTCAGCCCTATCTCACCTCGGATTTGCAAAGTTTACGTCAGCGCCCTTGCCAAGTGTCGCGACCGTCATGACGGCGCGACCGAGTGACGGGGTGAAAAAATAAATCTATCGTCACTGAAAAGGCTCTGTATTTTTGAGGGAAACAACCGGAGTACCTAATGAGCGA